GGGAGTCACCCCCGCGGGCCTTGTGTTTGACACATGTGCTTTAAAACTTAAACTGAAGATGAAAATGAATTCCTCAAAGGTTTTATATTTCACTCTCAGTGCGTACGCAGATATCAGTTTATGTAAAAACTGTATTTTTTCTGTTTTTTCAGAATAATTATGTTCTGATCRTTGGYTGTAATGTTGTTCTGATTGTGGTTATCTGCATTAACAGGAGTTACATGAACCTATGTACATGTTTCTGTGCAGCCTGTTTGTAAAATGACTTGGGAAATAAAACAAACTCAAACAATATTGGTACATTTATAAAATCAATGCACAGTTTGAACCTTYGTCCTTTGATATCAAAACCAACAAGAATCACAAACCACAGTGTGACACAGTGCTTTCACCTGCCTCCTCCTGATTGGCCAGTTTCCTGATGGAGCTCATCTGCAGACAGCTTGGTTATATAAGGCAGCACTGAAGATCTGGTCCTCGTCGGAGTAGTCCTGGCCTTTGTTGTTTAAACATTGATCTTAAGTATCTTACCCGTTCTCTGTGTTCAGTAATCCAGACCCGTGAAACCTGTCTTGCCTTGGACCACTCTTCCTGCAAAACCTATCTGCCTCCAATCTCTGGTAACCAAACAGCTCAGCCATTGCCTCCCAGCCTCAAACCTGCTGGAACCCTGTTCAAACTCACCTCCCTGGATCCAAGCCTTCTCCTCTGAGCCGCACCCATCCTGGAACCCAGATCCTTCCCCACTGTAAATAAAGATCACCTTTTGTATTCTGGCTCCAAAGTCTGTTCGTTCCAGTTTCACTCACCTTGACAAAAACCTGAAATCCTGTCACACAGTGCTACAGTGATAATATTTTTACAATTACAACAAACACAGAGATAATGGGAGGAATTTTGATTACTGATGTAAGTGATCACTTACCAATGTTTACAATTTATAAAAACGATCAAAGTWGCACAAAAGTAGTTACAATCAAGACAAAAATAATCAAGAATCAAGAAATGTTTTTGGWTGAGGCCCAATGAGTCCACGCTATAACAGAACCAGACTTTTACTTTGGTTTTATGAGCTTTATTTTGAAACATGTTCCGCTGTCCTGAATCTTCCTGATCTAAAACCAGGTGAACTATGATAAACAATAAAAACATTACTTATTATAAAACTATAAAAAAAGAGTTCTAATGTTTTTTCTTTTACTGTATGTCTCAGAACTTTTCCACTGATGTAGTAAAAGAGATAAAGTTTGTGTTGTTCTGCAGCCTAACTGCTGCTGTAAACACACCTTCCTCCCTCTGGAGAAGAAAATACCCAAAGCTGCATCGTGAAGCTGCTCAGCAGTAACCGTGGTGACCGGAGAGCGTCCCCCTCTGGTCCTGTTAGAGTCCGAGTGTCCTCACAGACCTGGTCCTCTGGGGCTCATTACTGAGAGAGGACACAGTAAACATGATGTAATC